TGCACCCATGTTTTGGAAGTCTGAGGAGGGGAACCTGTGGCTGGGTGCATTATCAAATACTCTGCTTTTTCTTCTCTCTTAAACAAGAGTTCAGTAAATCAGTCAACTGAAGCTTGCAGTGTACTTGCTTGACTTAGGGGAAAGGGGGTGCCTGGACCCACACTTTTTGGCTCCCAATGTCTTGGGAGGCATGATGAAGGGCTGTGGATGAATAGGGAGTAAGGACACTGCTGGTTGTTAGAAAAGTAGCTTTTATTGAATAAGCAGTGCCAGGAAGCATATCAACAAAAGCAGCCAACAAAAGGGGAAAAAAAAAAAAGAGGTCATTACTGGGCATGTCTATACAAGATGCTTTACTGCACAGTAAACTACTAAGCAGTAAGGTGTCACCATGTAACTGTGTACAGCAGCTACTGCACAGTAAATAGGCTAACGTGCACTTTTCTGCATTAACTGCATTAGCTACTGCGCAGTACAGCTCATGTTGGCAGCTGACTGGAAGCAATTTGTTTCAGGTCAGCCCAGGCAGCAGGGGGTGAGAGAACTGTCCCCTCCCCAGCAGCTGTTTCCCAGCCCTGTGCTCCAATCTGCTGATCCAGGGCATGAGGTTAGAAAACAGCTGCCCCAGAGGTGGGACAGGTTCCCCAGACCTCTAGAGCCCAAGCCTGACCCCAGGTCTGGTGCCCTGAGGGGCCTGAAGCTCTCCCTAGCTGCTGTAAGGGGACAGGACAGAGCAGGAGCAGCCCTGCACTGAATTGCTCTTATTGGGAGTAAATTTGCTCCTGACAGGCACATATGTCGATACGCTCCCAGGGAAACCTTACAGAGCATTACTAGCGCATGTTGACATGCCCATGGTGTACAAGAACAGCCAGATGCAGCAGTTGGGGAAGGGGAGAGGAAGGAGGAGGAATAATGTAATGTGAGATGCACAGAGCAGTGGTTTTCAACCTTTTTTTGTACTAGGACCCATTTGAAAAACATTGATGGCCAATCCTGATCCAGGGCCCCCTCACTCTTGACCCACTGCCCCCCACCCTCAGGCCCCAGCCCCACAGCGTG